CCTGCCGGGGAGGTGGGAGCGAGGGCCGGGGGCGCTCCGTCCGGATCGTCCCGGGGGGCTCCCAGGTGCCGGTGGGGGGGCCCAGCCGGAGCGGGGCAGGGGCGCGAGCCCTGGGCTGCGCGGTCCCGAGGGGCCCGCTGGGGCGGAGGTGGCCCCTTCCCACCCCTCGGGGCGAGGCTGGGCTGCGGGCTCCGAAGTCTGCCAGTCTGACGCCCCTTCCCGTTGCAGGCGGGCCCCCGGGGCTCGGAGCCGAGCGCATCCTGGCGGTGCCGGTGCGCACTGACGCCCAGGGCCGCCTGGTGTCCCACGTGGTGTCAGCAGCGGCGGCCGCGGTGGGGGTGCGAGCCCGCAGGGCTGCCCCGGTCCAGGGCTTCGCCGGGGGCAGCGAGGAGGACCCCAGCGGCCGCCTCTACTACAACGTCACGGTTTTCGGGCGAGACCTGCACCTGCGGCTACGACCCAACGGCCGCCTCGTGGCTCCCGGGGCCACTGTGGAGTGGCAAGGTGAGACGGGTGCCACGCGCGTGGAGCCCCTGCTGGGGACCTGCCTCTACGTCGGGGACGTGGCCGGCTTGGCTAGATCCTCCTCCGTGGCGCTCAGCAACTGCGATGGGCTGGTGAGCACTACTTTTTTCTCTCTTTGCTCCCCTGGCCTTTGCAGACCAGGTCGGGGATCCGTGGGAGGGACAGGCCTGGGCTGAGAACCAGCCTCTCCTGCCTCCCAGAGCTTAGGGAGCCACCCTCCCCGGCTGAGGTTGGCTGGAAGGCAGGCTGTTTCTGACTGTGCTGAGGAGATGGTTTCCTGGGGTGGGGTTCCCAGGAGCCCCTGAGCTGTTCCCTTTAACCCCCGTGCGAGTCTCCCATATGCCTGCCCACAGGTCTACAGGTGTAAGTTGGTATCTGTGTGTGTGTGTCTCGGTGGGTGTGTGCATTGGCACGAGCTTTGGCGTGCTGATGTGTGCCTGCGTCTGGGTGCCGGTGTATCTGTGTGAACCTGTGAGTGTGCCGTCCCCTCGCTGGCATGTGTGCGTCTGTGACCTTCTGCTCATCTGCGTGTCCTGGTGTCTGCGAGTGAGCGCCTGTGCTCTTCAGCGTGCGGCTGTGTGGGAGCACGTGTGCTGGCGGTGGGTTTTCTTGCTCTGTGTGTGCAAGTGATACCAGCCCTGGGGCAGACAGGGATGCTGAGATGCCCAGTAACCCTGTGCCCCTTAGCTGGTTGAGAGCCGGTGGTTTTATGTTGTGGCTTCGTGCTGAACTGCAGTTGGTTGTTTGAAAAGTCTGTGTTCTCTGTTTGGACCCAAGGGGAGTGTCTCGTGCCTGTGGACTGCCTGACTTTTGGGGGGCAGGATCCCCTTTGAGAGTGTGGGGCTGCCCAGTTTGACAAGCCTGGGACATGCACCTGCTTCTGGGGCTCAGCGGGACCATGGCTCAGGCGAGGCAGTCTTGGAGGGTCCCTGGGTGAGTGCACAGGGCAGAGGCTGACATTAGTGGTGTGGTGTGGTCCGGCAGCCAGGGTCTGGCACAGGGCAGAAGCCACTGCAGTTTTCTATTTTGGATTGGGTGTGTGGTGGTCAGGCTGGCTGTGCCGGCCAGACATCTGAAGCCGCCCACCGTGGGTTCTGCTCTAATTGCTGCCCGGGGTGCTCCTGCCCCAAGTGAGTGGCCGCTCTGCCAGCCCCGTCGGCCCCTGAGCCCTCTGGTCCTCAGGCGGCCCTGCTAGTCTGCTGGCTTCAGAGCCTGCAATTACACCCAGGCCCGTAACCGCTGCCGTTCTTTTTATGGACACACAGGAAACTTCACTTGTTGCTTCAGAAAATCACTGCCTGTGGTTGGATTTACTTGGAACCTGGGTATGCTGCAAATATGTGACTGTAAATGTCCTTGGAGGGGCTGGGTGGACACAGGACAGCTGTTGTATTCCCTGCTGGCTCCGAGGGTGCCCGGGGCTCACAGTGTGTCTCATCTTACGCTGCAGGTGAATTTCCTAAAGGTGGCAGGAGAGCTTTGCTGGGGACTTGGGGTGAGGTGAGGGGCGGTGCCCGTGGGTGCTGGCTGCTGGTATGTGCACTTTGGGAGCGTCAGGAGGTGCCGTGCTGCTCTTTCGTTCACCCACCTACTCATCTGATCACCCGGCCCCTTCTCATGTCCTGGGCCAGGTCAGCGGTGTGGCAGACCCAGGGCCTACGGGACAGGGGTGGGTGGGGCTGAGCGTGGCCTTGGCTTGGGGTGTGCTGCTGGGGCTCTTTGAGTGGGATCTCGGGTGGAGCTGTGAGCTGGCAAAGCGCAGGTGGGCAGTTGGGTGGCAGGGGGGTGTGCAGAGGAACCAGGCGTGAGCCAGGGGGGCGGGACAGGCACGCTGACGTGTCACGGGGGTTGGACACACTCGGGCAGAGGCAAAGGCAGGGCTGCGCGAACCCCGGGGCCTGCCCGAGTGGCCTGGATAGCCAGTGGATAATGGCCTTGAGGCAGAAGGTTACCATTGTTAGTTCTTCATTTTTTCCTGATTTTTTAGAAAAGAATGTGTCTGTTCTGATTTTATACCAAGTAATTCCTTAGCCCTTTAAGTCGCCCTGTGCCTCTGTGACACAGCGCCTCTGGCAGCCCCAGGAGCTGTGGGGAGGCCCGGCCCCTGGTGTGCGGGTGCTGCCCCAAGGCTCCCCAGGCCGGGTGACTTGCCCACGGCCGCCCAGCCGGTGGTGGTGGGAGCCTGGCCCGGCTCTGCCGGCCCCTTGCGTTAGTGGGACGGAGATGCTGTGATAACTGAAGGAGCTGACAACCGCGTGCCCTTCTCAGGGACCTCGTGGGAACAAATGACTGACCTGTGCGGCGGCCTGCGCCCTTCCCAGGAGCCCCTTCCGTCCTGGCCCGGGGCCCCAGGATCTCACTGTAATGCAGATTCAGTTTCTCAGAGTTCTGCATTGCTTAGAAGGTCTGGGAGGCTTAGCCAAGGGCCCCCCTGGGAGGAGCGAGGTCCTGCGGCCCATTTCTCTGGGAGCCGTCTGGGGAGCTCTGCTCCAGCAGCCAGCTCACCGGTCATGGCAGAAGGGAGAGCCCCTGGGGTGCTCTGGACGGGATGCTAAGGAAGCCTGAAGAGCTCAGTGTGACCCAGCACTTCCCACACGGCTGGAGCCTCCGTGTGCACCACACACGCACAGAGGCCCGGGCACATGCGTGAAGAACCACAGTACCCTGGGTGCATGCGGCCGGAGCAGGCAGCCATAGCCCGCTGTGAGGCTCACATGCTTAGCTGGGACAGGGCCCCCCTCAAGCCTGTTGTCCCTCACTTCCTGGGTGTGCTTCTCCTCTGTAAGGGCAGGCTCTAGTTGTTTACCCGAGGTAGCGGTCTCTTGTTTTGTACAAGGGGACTCATGCCACTGAAGCCATCAGAGTCATTTCAGCTACGGTGACGGGAAACTCACATTAGTTTAGACACGAAGGGACCTTCGTAGCTCACTTGGTATTACGTCTTTAGGAGTGGCTGGATCCAGGCGCTCACACCTCTTGCCTCTGCCCGCCATGTGCTGGCTTTGTTCTCAGATGAAGCTGCTCGGTAGTGAACCACAGGATCCTGGCAGTGCCACGCCGTCTTTTCCTACCAATGGCAGCAGGATCCTGTGTGTCACTCTGGCCTCACTAGGAAGGGTGCTTCCGTGAGAGCGGGTGTGGGAGTCTGGCGGAGGTGCAGGAAGTGGCGCCTGAAGTCTTGGACAGAAAGACACAGCGCGCACGTTTGCAGAGGGCTGCGGGGGGTGGGTGTGGGGTTCTCCGGTGCAGCAACCGGGAGCTGTGCGGAGTATTCACTGGGTGGAGCTGAAAGCTGCCTTTTCACACTGGAGGAGAAAAACTGCTTAGCTCAGTGCCCCGAACATCATTGCCTCGCAAGGGTTTCCAGCGTGGGCCACGTGACAGGCGTGCTAATTTCTCATCACTTTTGCATGCTGATTAAAAGCCCAAGGAGAGGCTGCTGGCATCAAAAGTAATAACAGTGACAGTTTGTTTGGCGGGGCCAAGCGCCTTTGTCACGTGGTCTTGTTTAATCCTCACAAGGCCCTGTGCAGTGTGTCCTGATTTTATCCCCATTCAACAGAAGGATAAACCAAGGCCTCGGAAGACCAGAGCGCTTGCTGCAGCCTTGGCAGCCAGTATGTGAACACACATCTGTCTGACTGCAGGGTCACAGTACTTTTTTGCATGCTGACAGAAAGAATAAAGATGAGCTGCACTTCCATAAAACACTTCCAGTCTTTCTCGTTCCAAGTCCTGGAGGGTTCTCTGGGCGGAGTAATCCTTGGCTGGCGGGGAGCCTGCTGCGAGCCGCACCTCGTGAGCGTCCGACTCCTGGCTGCTGGGTCACTGCAGTGGGGCTCCAGTGGACAAAGCAGCCCTTCCCACCTCTGCGCTTGGCACACCGCGGCACTAGGGACCTCCTGGCCTCGGCGCAGGACCAGCGACTGCCGCCTGCACAGGCGGTCGGAGTCTGTTCCCGGGCCTGTGAGAGCGGGAGCACACGTCCCCTGGGCTCTGGACGGCCCCTCGCCCCGCCGTGTGGCCCATGCCCGGGGAAGCCTGGGTCCACTGCACGAGGAAGCTGCTGCTGCCTCTTGGGCACTCGCGCCGGCCAGTTTTGCTGGGCATTTGGAGTCGCTGAAAGCCACGGGGAGGCGTCACAGGCAGTGCCCAGGGACCTGGTGAGAGGGCTGCAGGTGCCAGAGCGGCAGGCAGGGGTGGGCGGGTCCAGGTCCAGCTGGCCTGTCAAGGTCCTGCTCCCTCCTCCTTTGCCCTGGCACTGCCCGAAGAGCAGTGGGAGGGCGGGGTGGCAGCGGAGAAGCTGTGGGATGCTCCGGCTCTCCTCAGTCAGAGTGTGGGCCCTGCGTGGCTGCTGCTGGGAAGCGTAGCCCCTGGGGTGGCCTCAGTCTCCCCCTCAGCTCGTTACCTGCCCTCAGACTCACTGTAAGTGACAGAAAGCCGGCTCTCCTTAGATACAGCAAGCAGAGGACTTGCTGGACCCAGTTATTTGAGGGTTCTGAGGAGTACCAGCCTCAGGCATGGCTGGACCCAGGAGCTCGGAACATACTGTCTCAGCTCGGCCACTGAGATCATTTTGGAATCCGCTCTTCCCACATGGGAGCTGTGGGCAGCCCCAAGTCTGACCTGTCTTCCAAGGAGGACTTCCTCTGAACTGCACAGGCCCCACCAGAGCCCGGGGACCCTCCTGGAGGGGCGTGACCCGCCTGGCATGGTCAGTGCCCATCGTTAGACCAACCTCTATGACGAGGAGGCCGAGTCTCATGCCCACCTTTGAGGGTGAGGGTCAGACGCCCACGGCTTGGGAGTGGGAGGAGCTTGGTTAGGGCTCCGCCTAGCTGAATGGGCTGCACGCCCCCCACCACTGGCTGCTCGGCGCTAACCTCGACACTTCACCTTTTGCTTGGATGGGGATCCTAGGACCCCTTCTGGAGCCCCCACATCCAGCCAGCCGCATGCTGGAGACCCTCACCCTCCACCCCCGACCTCCACCAGGCTGCCCGCCACACCTGGCCTCACATCCTGTCCTTGCCCTTGGTCTGCAGCTGGCCCATACAGCAGCCGTGTGTCAAATCCCGGCACTCCTCTGCTC